GATCACAGAACTTTGATTCTGTTTATTCTAGAAATCAAATAATTAAAAAAAATTCTATTTATTTTATTCTAGGTGTACTGACAACTATCAGTGGATTAATTTGATACAAGAAGTAACAACAGACAGAAATAGTACTCGAGAATCTGCCTGTCACGGACCCGGCTCTGGAGGACTCGGGGGTCCGTGAGCAGTCTTGACTGTTGTTGTTATTATTAGTATTATTATTATTTGGTGATGTGTGTGTTTTTCTGCACAGTGCTGTGTTAGTCTGTGTCCCACTCGTATGTATAGGCAGGGTGTGGGTGTGTAGGTGTGTATGTCTGCGGGTGTGGCTGGAGGATGGAACACAGCCACCTGCAGGCCTGATGGGTGTGGCCCTGTGGGAGGACTGACCACACCTGAAGTTCCTGCCACACCTGTTGGTGATCAGGCTCATCGGGGAGCTACTTAGGAGAGTGTTGGAGCTCCGACTGGCGCGGGATCATTGAGTTATCGTACCAAGTTACTGTGTCAGCATATGTCTGTGCTGTTCGTATATGCCCGCCGAGGGTTAGTGTTGACGGCTGCTTCTATGGTTTCCCTGCAGGAGGAAGAGTGGTCCAGAAAGGCAGCACGCACGGGGTGTGCGGAAACACAACAGCGGGGAGCACGAGCACGAGCACGAGCACAGACGTCGGAGGGAAGCACGCACACGGGGTTCAAGGGAGCAACGGGGAGTTATTGTGTTTGCAGCTTTTCACTGTAAATAAAGAGCACTGTTTGAATCGCAGAGTCTGCGTTTTGGGTCCTCCTTTCCCCACATCCCCACAGTCTGCCAGCCAGACCATGACACTGCCTATTCTTCTTTATTAATGTAATCTAGTGATAATTGTGATTATGTTCCATAATACCAATACGGAAACTATTGTAGGATCTACCTTACAATATAAAGCGCCTTGAGATGACTGTTGTTTTTATTTGGCGCTGTAGAAATAAATTTAAGTTGAATTGAATTATTGGTTAATTAAGCGGATACAATTTTTCAAAATGAAAAACGGGAATAACAAAATGAGGCTTGACCGTGTTTCACTGTATGCTTGGAAACACTATACTTCCTGTTTCTTGTACATGACATCTAAAACAAGTTTTTAAAGCAAAAAACATTTAATAATCAACCTCGTGATGTTAACTGTAGAATATATGGTAAATGGTAAATGGCCTGTATTTATATAGCGCTTTACTAGTCCCTAAGGACCCCAAAGCGCTTTACACAACCAGTCATCCACCCATTCACACACACATTC